AAACTACGCCAAAGTGCATGGAAACAGAGCAGCAACAAGGCATTTCGGTCCACCACCTACCGAAAAAATGATACGTACTTGGCGACTGCAGGAAGATCAACTGAAAACTGCTAAAAAACAAAAACATAACCTTTGATGCCCAGCTCCATCTTGGCCTGAACTTGAAAATGCCATAAAAATGTGGGTGATAGATAAGAGGAAATCTGGGATAAAAGTTTCAACCAAAATGATAATCAATGAGGCCAAAGGATTTGCAGAAAAACATGGGAATCAGAACTTTTCAGGGTCTGAGGGCTGGTGAGGTTCATGAAAAGGCAAGGCTTATCAATGCGCACAAAAACAACTATTGCACAGAAAATGCCAGCAGATTATGAAGAAAAAATACTAGCATTTCATAGGTTTGTTATAAATAAGCAAGAAAACTTCTTTTGAGCTCGGTCAAATAGGAATATGGATGAAATTCCACTCACATTTGATGTACCATCCAACAAGACTGTGATTATTAAAGGGTCTAAATCAATAACCATAAAAACCACAGGTCATGAAAAAACCTGATATGCAGTAGTTCTAACATGTAGTGCTGATGGCACAAAACTACTGCAGTTTTTCATATTCAAAAGAAAAAGTCATCCGAAAAAAAGAAAAAAAAAACTTCCAACGGGTGTAATTGTTCATCTGAAAGGCTGGATGGACGAAGCTGGAATGAAACTGAGGTTACAGAACGTATGGGCGAGGCGACCTTTTGGACTCTTAAGAAAATCCTCTCTTTTGATTTTGGATCAGTTTAGCGCCCACAGAACTGAAATCATAAAGAATAAAGCGAGAGAATTAAAAACCCAGATAGCTGTCATTCCTGGTGGACTGACTAGCCAATTGCTGCTTTTAGATGTATCAGTGAATAAGCCATTTAAGGAAAAAGTGCAAGAACGATGGAACAGGTGGATGAGAGCCACATCACGCCCTCACACTCTCAGGTAGAATGAAGCGGCCCTCTATTTCACAAGTGTGCGAGTGGGTAAAAAGATCTTGGGAGGCTTTTGTAAAGGCTGAAGTAATTGTTAAGTCCTTTAAGAAGAGAGGAATCAGTAATGCTCTTGATGGAACAGAAGACGATGCATTATTCGAAGAAGGTGATACTAGCGATAACGGAAACAGTAGTGATGACGATATTCTCGTTTTCGATGACGATGATAGCGAAAAGGATTTTTATGGTTTTTAAAGTGATTAAAGTCTAATTTAATGATAGGCAACATTTTCCTTAAATCTGTGTTTTTTGTTGTTTCTGCTTTATTTTGCATTATGTTTGATTGCTTGCTGTACATCAAGGATGTCAAACTCGCGGCCCACAACAAATATTTTTGCGGCCTGGCCAATATATCGGCAAATAATAATATATAACAATAAAATAACATATCGATGAAGAAAAAATGAAATGTTTACTGCTAAGTAATTAACGATAATTTATTCAGTGTTGTTAGATTACTCACAGCGAGCTGACACACACACTACTTAAATTACAAATGCGTGTGAGTAGCTTGCGTTCAGCTACCTTCGGCTTTTGGGGAACACGTGCACTCAGAACTTGTACGCATTCCCCGATAGCCGAATGTGGCCGAACTCATGGTCTCAGTTTTAAAATCATAGTTTTGTACGATATATTGGTGCATGCATGTGCATGCACTTTGCTTTATTATTAATTATTACTTAATTCATATTGTTACGGATTTCACAGTTATTTATTTAGTTAGTTTCTTTTATTTAGAATTGTAATTAGATTTGCTTAATGTTGCCTTAGCAACGCAGACGATTTTTGAAAAGACAGCTGCATTGGAAGGTTAAAAATAGAACAGCGCGTGCATTTAATACCTAATAAATAAATATCTCGTAATTGCTGTTGCCATCCACAAAAATCCAGATATTTATAGATGTTTCCAGTATATTCGAGAAATTAATTATAAAGCTTATAAAAGCCGAGAACAAACAACTCATCTCAGTAGTAGCTGTAGTTCTAGCGAACTGTTTGTTTACTTAATGCTGTGATTGATTTGTAGCGATTTCGCTGCGAGATAGAATTAGTTTCTCTGTTTTGAATTGATTTTTGCTAAACGTTTGACATTTTGTGATATTGTTAGAATATTTTTGAAGAAATATTTCAGCATTTTGATTTATCTCTTGTGGAAAGAATAAATTTTTGTTAACTTTTTAACTTTAACCGTGTTTATTCCAGCCCTTTGTATTCAGTATGTCTATATCAAAACCAAGTGGTAGTAAAATTAAACGAAAAATCGCTGACGAACATAGAATATTCCAAGTAAAATGGGAATTAGAATATTTTTGCTGTGAAATAAAAGATAAAATAATCTGCTTGATATGTAATAATACTATTAATGTACCAAAGTTATATAATATTAAACATCATTACGAACAACACAAATCGAAATATAACAATTACGAAGGATTAATGAGAGAAGAAAAGTTGAAAGAGCTCAAGTTAGGAGTGAAAAAGCAACAGTCCATGATTAGTAAAGTATTGCAAGAAAGTGAAGCGGCGGTACATGCAAGCTACGTCTTGTCCGAGTTGATAGCTAAATATTTGAAGCCTTTTACTGACGGTGATTTCATCAAGGAATGCCTAATGAAAGCTGGAGAAATTGTTTGTCCTGGAAATGTGAAGGCTTTTCAATCAATTTCATTGTCTCGAAATACAGTTGTGGAAAGAGTTACTGATTTAGCCGCGAATTTAGGTGATCAGATCAAATCAAAATCATCTAGTTTCGAAAGTTTCTCCATTGCCTGTGACGAGAGCACGGACATTAGTCGCAAAGCTCAATTAGCAGTGTTTCTTCGTTCTTGTGACAAGAATTTTAACATTTTTGAGGAATTACTGGAACTAACAATGATGCCTGGTACTACCACAGGAGAAGATATATTTACTTGTGTTTTTGAACTTCTGCAGAAATACAATCTACCTTTGGCAAAATTAAATTCTGTAGCTGCAGATGGCGCTCCATCAATGACCGGGAAAAACAAGGGCTTCGTAGCATTACTAAGAAAAAAAACTTAGTGAAATTCACGGTTCAAACATTCATCATATGCATTCTATTATACATCAAGAAGTTCTATGCACGAAAGTAATAAATATGGAGAATGTTTTGACATATATAAAAAAAGTTATAAATTTTAAAAGATCTTGAGGTTTAAATCAGCGTCAATTCACTGCTTTCTTAAGTGAGTTAGATAGTGAATATTAGGGTTTGTCCTACTATACCGAGTTACGTTGGTTATCTTGCTCCAAGATTCTCAAACAATTCTGGGATTTGAAAGAAGAAATATTTCAGTTTTTAAAAACGAAAAATCAAGACATAAGTTTGTTTTACGATCCAATATGGATACAAGATTTATCTTTCTTGGTTGATATAACCAAACACTTAACCGATTTAAATTTATCGTTACAAGGAAAAGATCATATCATTACAAACATGTTTGACATAATTAAAGCATTCAAATGTCAAACTAGTTCTTTGGGAAAAACAACTTAAAAAATGAAGATTTAATGCACTTTCCGACGTGCAGCATGAACAAATCAAGTTTAGATGATACTTGTTCATATCAAAAATATGCAGAAAAAAAAATTGCAAATTTAACAACTGAATTTGAAAACGAGGTTTAAATGATTTTAGTTCCCTCGAAGACAAATTTTTTTTTGTTTTCTTTGATTTTCTCAATAAGTATTGACTCAGTACCCAGCCATATGCAAATGGAGGTGATTGAGATTCAATGCAACTCAAATTTGAAAGCAAAAATTCATTGAAGTGGGCGCGTGCCTGAATTTTACAAATATTTACCAGCCAGGTTTGAAAATACTCGAAAATTCGCATATGAAATTATTTTCATGTTTGGTAGCACTTATCAGTGCGAGCAGTTATTTTCAGTCATGAAAGGTAATAAGTCTCCTATTAGAAATCGTATTAATGATGCTCACCTTGGGTCAGCATTGAAAGTTATCACTGCAAACAAAATTTCTCCCAAAATAGGAAAGATAATAGCAGAGAAGAGATGTCAAGTATCAGGATGTAAACATTTTTTCTTCTTCTTTTCTATATAAATATATATATATATATATATATATATATTATATATTATGTTTATTATTGCATTATTCGAAATAAATCTACGTTTCTATGAATATTGATTTTTTTTTTTTTTTTTTTTTTTTTTTTTTTTTGCGGCCTGCCTAAAGTTAAACCTTGTTTGTTTGGCCCAAGTGTACCTATGAGTTTGACATCCCTGCTGTACATTCATTTATTCATTATTGAAATCTACATATCATGTTCAAAATAGCTTGCCGTTTGTTAATTTTCCTTAATAAAAATATGTTTGGTAATTGGATTCAATGATTGTTTATTTGGCTTTTACGAAATGTGTGAACTAAAAGAAACCACATTTTAAGTTATTGTGGTACTGCGCTTTCGCACGGACTATTGAACCTTTTTTTCCTTGTGTGTGGCCTTCTAAATAGGGGTGTGTCTTATTTACCCGCAAATACAGTATATACAACTTTGTAAAACCACACAAATATGTCTTGCTCCAACTAAGCTTACACAAATATGTCTTCCTCCAACTAAGCTTACACAAATATGTCTTGCTTCAACTAAGCTTACACAAGTATGTCTTGCTCCAACTAAGCTTAAATCTAAATTAAGAAATGTGCATTAAAAAATTACACATGGTAAGAAATTATATTCCTAAACTTCACCCTACCTGTATTATGCATATCCACACAATGAATAAAAGCAAACAAGGAACATCGATTAAATTCAGTGCGAGTAACGGGGCATAAAATAAAAACTGAAGTGAACACTGAAATGCACAGAAAACTTCAAATCTTCATAATTTACTTTAATAATTTTATAAATGCTTCCCCACTTAAATATTAAGATCAACAAGAATATTTAGAAGAAAGAATAGTGAATGATATAAAGATGATGTAAAATGCATACCTGTAAGTCAATGCTGTTGTTACTAATTTGATTAACATTAGGCAAAGAACCAGCACGATATGATCCCAAGGACTGACTTATATGCAACTGATGGTGTTTAGGCCCCTAAAAGATAATTACTCATAAAGCATACATTTTCATAATTTACTTATGATTCATAATTTATTAATACATTCATAAAGCATTGTGAATCATAAATCATTGTGAACTCATAAAGCATTGTGAATACTGTATTGCTACAAAGAAGAACTTTGTGCTGATTTTGTACATAAACACATTTTCCTCTCGTGTCGTTTTTTTGCGTTCCTGCCTTAACCCGTCATATTAGACCCTACATTCCTATAAAAAAAATGCATGTTTTTAGTACGCTCCACCATCCCTCCAAGTCTGTCCCATGATCTATAAAACATCCTGCATACATGCATACGTGAACACATCCATCCATACATACATACATACGTTTCTGGACCTGGTGCTGATAACAAAACAGTACCATTTTTTTAAATAATTAAAAAATTACATTAAGTATATCTGGACACCTGTAGAAGTTTAACATATCACATCAGCAGAAATATAAGGTGATCCATAAGTCATGCATATCAAACTTAAAAAAATTGTGGAAATTACAAAGTGGATAATGATGACATCTGTATATTGTTTGGAAATTTCAATCCCAGTTAATGCTGTTAGCTTTAAAAACCATTTGTTTGGGGCGAAAAAGAGATGAGTTTTCCTAAAAAGAATGAATTCTTATGATTGATTATTAACAATGCATTCTTACAGAAAATTTGTTAAAGCACTTAAAAGACACCTAAAAGTTTGTGAATCTAACCAGACAATGATTTTTTGCTTCATAATTTTATTTCGAGAAACTGGAAATATTCACCATAAGAATGATAAGGCCACCTATCTCTTCGAGTTTGGACAAAATGGACAAAGTCATTAATAAAATGTTGCAATCACCAAAAAAAAGTGAGCGGAAATATGGCACTGAAATTAAATTTATGCAGTGCAGCAACATAAACTGCATAATCTTGACATGTTGAAATACCTCACAAGTTGCATGATCTTGATATATTAAAAAGATAATTATTATACAATAATAAAGTTTTAACATAAACATTTGGAAATAGTGGTAAGTTATTTTAATATTGTTAAAGTCCAATAATGCAGTATGTGTAATATCAACATACATCAGTTCCATCTTAATGTATAAGCATTATAGGCACTGCCCAAGACCTTGTAAATATTTCAGTAAATCATTATTCTTAAGAGAATTAGTATAGGTAAAGGCTCGAGATACGACAAAAGATGCACTAAGATGACTTATACATATCCATATGATGGTACTACAAGCACAACAATAGATAGTATTATAAGATGCTCCTCACTTATCAGCTTTTCACCTTCATGTATGAGTATCAGTTTCTGTTCTGTGCTTTTGATTTTGATAGGATTTATTGGTGTAAATAATCTGGGAATCACAACTCTTTAAGTTGCTTTTTTCGTTATTAGAATGTGGGGAAGTGCATCCTGCTCAATGTTTTCATTTATGTTATTTGCTTCTACATTAATTCTGTTAGGAGAATGTGGGAAAACGCATCTAACTAACTATAACACGTGTACTATCACTGAACTTCCAGGATGGAAAAACTCAGACCAGTTGCCTTTTTTTATATTTATTTTAAAACTTAACATAGGAGTTCTTGGTTAATTAAAAAATAACATTACAATATTATTACAGAAAGGGAAAGACATCAGTTTTTCCGATGCGTGATGCGTCTTACTAGCTCGGCATTTACCAGAAAAAAGCTGTGCTTTTCCTGTGAGTCGATCCTTGTTTAAAATCATTCCACACATAGTAGAATCTTTAAACTGGAATTTAATTACTTACAGAGAATTACTGTTTAATTTTCTTTTAAATTTCATATTTGTAATTTTGTTTTTATATATGCAGTTATAATTTTAGTATTTTGCATGTTTCATTTATTTCTGTTAATGTGATAGTCTTTATATTAACACATGTTAAGAATTAGTATATTAAAAACTTAACTTCAAAAAGTGAGGTCATTTCATTAAAATGCCGGTTTTAATTTTTTTTAATTAGACTTAACTGCTGAAAATGCTGAAAATGGCCAGGGGCAACGTTCCATTTCGAAAGGTTCGGTCCCATGCTACACTTCACTCTCCACCCGATAGTCCTCAAGGAGTTAAAAGAAACATCTTGTTGAATCTTATTCAGAAAGTGACAATACATATTTTGTTGATTTTTCACTTTCTGAATTGACAACTGAACTTGACAACTCATGTCCATCACATTTACTTGCGTACATGAGTAATCTCACAGGCGATACTGTAGGGGAAGCACTTCTCAATTCTCTCTGGCTTGTAAATTTTCCTACAACTACACACATCATTGTAGGGGCATTGAGTGACAGACTGACAAATCACCACAAAATTCATCGCCAGAAGTACAAATTACACAACTAACTCACTTAGCAAATTATTAACTGCTTGCGACTGTACATCATTCCAGCCACCCAAGAAACAGCAAATTAACACATCATAAAAGATGCAATCGCAGTCATTCTAAGAAATGCTATAAAGAGCCGGTAAATAATCAATGTTTTTATCATATGAATTTTGACTTTGTAATGCTAAAAAATGTGCTCCCTCGTGCTCTTTCCGGCACAACGGAAATAAGTTCGGTTTTCAAATTTGAGCCAGAGTCACAACCACCATTGCACTCTGGCTGACCCTGGCCCATGCATCCTCCTGTGTCAATCAAATTAAAATTTTTGATTGACACAGGAGGATTCTGTTCTTACCTTAGTCACAATCAGTCTGTTGTGAATGAGGGATTGGTTCTTATATGTTGCAAACAGAACAAAATTCCAAACCTTTGATAATTAACATATGACTCTTAACTTAAGTATACAGTGAAAGTTCACTTAGTCTTTCGTAATTGCCAAAGTTAGTCAACATATCATAGACATTGACTTGTAAATTTAAGGAAAGTATTAGTTATAAGACTTGTAAATTTAAGGAAAGTATTAGTTAATACTAAGGAAAGTATTAGTTAATGCTATAAAAATAACAGTACAATTGATGCTTTCTTCACATAAGAAGGTTGCTCATATTCTGCTGGGTAGCAGTAAACAGTGAACAGCCACCATAAAATTCACTGCTGGAAGTACAAATTACACAAATCACTTAGCAAATTAATAAATTACCTTATGTGTTCTTTTAGATCCTTCCAAGCTTGATAAAATTTTGACTGAATATTCAAAAGTTAGTAATCCTTCACATATATAGCCAAAGAGCAACCAAAACATACCGTCTTTCACCAAGGAACTTCCGGTATTTTCTAAGCCACAATGGCTATCATCTGAGCTCTTCATGGATGCTTTCCAGGAATTTACGTTTCTTCTGACAAAGGTTATCATATGTCTGTCAAAATGTGCTTCGGCAAGATCCCTTCGTACAGTTAAAAAATAAATGGTGCATCATGTCCCTACAGCGGTGATTGCTGCTTGAATGACAACACTGTTATGGACTATTATTCCCTTCTCTATATTCAAGACTATAAGCAAGCATTTTATGGGAAAAATAGTACTTTACAACATTAGATTTAGCTCACATACAGATGGAGAACAAAATAATACGAACACCTGTGAAATAATGGAAAATCTTTATTAAAAGGGAGTTGGACAACTCCTTTGACTGAAGTACAGATTGAATGTGATGTGGGATAGATGTACAAAGGTCATGGACAATATTTAAAGGAATATTAAGCCCTTCCTCCTGCAGAGCGGTCTCTAATTCCGAAAGTCCGGATGGAAGTGAAAATCGGCAATAAAGTTTGGACTCCAAATATGCCCATAAATTTTCAATAATATTCAAGTCCGGAGACTGGGAGGGCCAAATGAGATGTTCAATTGCATCGTCATGCTCTTCAAACCATTCTTGAATAAACCTAGCAGTGTGGATAAAGGTGTCGTCTTGAAAAAGTGGTCGCTCCCCAGGAAATACAGTCCATACAAAAGGATGGACATGATCCCCTAGAATGCTTAGATAGTGCTTGGATGTGATCCTCCCATGCAGATTAACAAGTGGCCCAAGACCGTGCCAACATATCGCACCCCCATACCATAATGGCACCATCCCCATTCTTCATAGTCGGCAAGAGGCAGTCAGGATGAAACGCTTCTTTGGGCATTCTCCAGGCATAAACGCATCCGGTCATCTGAAATAGGGTGAACAACGATTCATCTGACCATATTACCTGTTGCCACTGCTGTGGGGGCCAGCCTTTGTGATCTCTGCACCATTGGCATCGCTTGAAAGCATTAGCTGCTGTCACCAAGGGTTTATGAATTGCCACTCTGCCATAAATGTTAGCAGCATGAAGTTCCCTTTTGACAGTTTTAGTTGAAACGGGGTCCTGGAGAAGACTGTGCATTTCGGATGTTATCTCGGATAACTATTGCTTGTGCTTTCGGGCTACTATGCACTTCAAGACCCGTTTATTCCTATCAACCAGCTTTGACTTTTGGCCACTGTTGTGCTTTGAAGACGTCGTCTTGCCCTCTTTCGTGTACGCTGTCATAACGGTCGATACCCTACTCCTTGCACACCCCACAAGGTTTGCTGTTTGCGTAACTGATGCTCCACTTGAATGCGCTGCAACTATCATTCTTCTTTGGAACTCTGACAGGTCTGACATTTTAACTTCTCACAGACAGTTTGATCGAAGCATGCAACGCAGGTGACTGCTGTTGAGAGACTGATACCTTCCTCTTCACGCTCACTAGGTGGCAGATTTCTGCTGCAGGTGGCACGACTGTACTGCAGATGTAAAATACGTCATACTTTTTCACAGGTGTTCACATTATTTTGTCCTCCATCTGTACATCACCACATCCTGTTAATCCAAGTGGCAATTAAAAACCTGTTGTAACAATCTCATTTGGTTTGTTTGAATTTCTGTCTACACCATTTCACACTTGTAATACATGGCAGACTTGTCAGAGATATGTACATCAGCAACAGATATTAGGCAGCCAGATTTTTTTTAACTCCATTTAAATGATATTCAATCATGTTGTCAAGTAAGGAGGAGCAGGAGAGATATCTTAGGCAAGTTTTAGATTGTTTCAAACAACATGGATTGAAACTAAACCCAACTAAATGCGTTCTAGTAAAACTCCTTTGTGGCCTTTCTGGGATGCTTTATAACATTCTCTGGGGCAACATCGCTCCCTGAAAAAACTCAAATAACAGCCAAATTTCCAAAACCTAAAACTATTCCAGAGTTATGTTGCTTTCTGGCAATGCTTACCGTAATTTCCGGAAGAAATGCAATGGCGTTTACGTGTTTAAAACTTAAATTTTCAGCGAGTGCAGCATTTCTACCCATGCGATGTTTAGGTGCACTAAAAATAAAATATTTCCTATGATGGTCATTGTACATAGTTTGAATAACTTTGCATTGTGCATAGTTTTGATGGCCTTGTCATTGTACATAGACTGGTGCTGTTCCCACACAAAAGACCACTCAGTTGCTTTTTGCGGACGTTATTATGTTGTCATTCTTTCCCTGGAACGGACCTACATGCCTTATTCACCCTAAACAGGATCTCAGAACAATAACATTCTTCCCCCTTTCAAATCAGCATTCTCATCATTTTGAATAGTCTCTCTCCTCTGACATTTGATGAATCTTCCAGGACCCATCCTCTCCCACCCCTGCCTTTTCTGCAATTTTTTTTCAAAGGCGGACACGACTCCACCTGCCTCGCAAAAAGAACTCTGACTTATTTCCCCTTCAGCATGAATAGATTTTTCTTGGCATTCTTCCAGATACAGATCTCATCAGTTTGGGTACAAGTACTTGTTGGATATTTTTTAAGTAAGAAGGGAGCAGAAAATGTTTGAAAATTGCACCTAAACGGCACAGAAGCTATACCGCTGGTTTTAAGCTTAATGTAATTTCACGTGCTGAACAAATTGGAAATAGAGCAGCAGCTCGAGAGTTTGAAGTGGACAAGAGATGTATTCGATGTTAGACAACTGAAAAAGAAGAACTCAAAAATATTCCACAACAGAAACGAGCCAAAAGAAGTGGTACCGTAAGGTGACCGAATCTAGAGGACGACCTTGCAAACTGGATAAAGGAGCAACGAAAAAAAAGAATGGCAATTTTGACTGTAAAAATTCGCTTACAAGCAAACTTTATACCAAAGCAAATGAACATAAATGATTTTAAAGGAGGGCCATGCTGGTGTAGCAGATTTATGAAAAAAAAAAATATTTCTGTGCGTACTAGAACAACAGTGGGGCAACAATTACCAATGGACTGACAGGATAAAAAGGCATCTTTTCTAAAATATGTGACAGATATTATTGACAAAAGAAAACTTCTTCGGTCACAGATAATAAATATGGATGAAACGTCGTCAGCTTTCGACTCTCCTGCAAACAGAACTGTTGATGAAACTGGTGCAAAAACTGTATCTGTGCTTACGACGGGGCATGAAAGAACATCATTCATTGTGTGTTAGCTTGTGCCGCAAACGGTGACAAGCTAAAGCCGATGATCATTTTTAAACGGAAAACTATTCCGAAAGGAGATTTTCCTAATGACGTAATTATTTGTGCAAACGAGAACAGCTGGATGTGTGAAACAATCATGCATGAGTGGCTACAAAAAGTTTGGCAGTGTCGTAAGGGATCTTTTTTCCAACCAAAAGGGTTATTGATAATAGATTCCATACGTGCTCATTTACTTGAGCCAGCGAAAACCAGATGTCAAAAATTGTCTATGACCGTGCCAATAATTCCTGGTGGTTTGACAAAAATCTTACAACCATTAGATTTGTCAGGTAATAAATCCTTCAAAGCTGTAGTCCAAAAACGATGGGAGTGTTGGATGAGTGAACGATTGCATACGTATACCAAAAGCGGTAAATCTCGTAAAGCATCTTATGAAGAAGTTGCAAAGTGGGTAGGAAGTACATGGAAATTGGTAAAAAAACATTGTCATGTCAATAATAGCAGGGTTCAAAGAAGCTGAAATTATATCTTTAGGTAAAGAGACTGTAAACCAAGAGGATGAATGTGACGATCTGGAAGACTTGGACTTAGATCAGGATTTACTAAATCTTTTTAATTCAGATAGTGAAGAATCAGATTTTGATGGCTTCATATGATGTATAGTTTGCTGTAATTCCTTTTGTAAGTAAAATTTAAAATTTCCTTTTGTAATCCAAATTTAATATTTCATTGTTGCAACATTTTTTATAATATAGTCTGAGTATTACAAATATGGACTTCTTTAGTGGGTAAATATAAGTATATTCGAGAACATAAATATATTTTCACCATTTTTACCTTCAAATTATTTTTGAGTTATGGTTTCATTTCATGCATTTTTCTTAACTGATATGTCATATATCAAGACATAGGTTGAGATTTTGCATCTATACGGCCCACGACGATGTCACGCACTATTTAATCTAATGCGGCATTTACGCTGATGCAGCGTTTCTGTGTAATTTTAATTTTTCCCCGCCATTTTTCTCGAGTGCACCGTTTACGCTGATGCGGCCTTTCTTCCAGAAATTACAGTCATTTCTACCATTATTTCATCCCAAAAGCTGCCAAAACCAAAGCTCCTTTGCATGAATTACTTTCCAGAAAAATGAAAAGTGGCTGGTTCCTTGGGACAGTACTTTAATGCATGTATTTAAAACATATAAACATGAGCTTTTCAATTCGGCAACTCTAGCTTCCGATGCTCCTCATTAACAGCTGTCCCTAATAGCTGATGCTTCTAACATTACTTATGCGTGTTTTATTAAATGTATTAAATGATGTAACCTCTAGCATTCTTTTTGCATAAACTGTACCGAGTAAATTAGCAAATAGTATCTATGACAGAGAGTTCTTAGTAATCTATTCAGCTTTAAAACACTTTCAGCATAGTCTACAGGGCAGGCATTTTAGAATATACACAGACCATGAAACCTTTGACCTTCGCTTTTTAAAAAAGGTCTGAATTCAATTTACCCTCTAACTCAGACACTTCAACTGCATGCCATAGTTCAGTATAGATATCTGACATGTTACTGGATTCGATAATATTGAGCCTGACACTTTATCCTGAATAAATGAGATATACCCACCTTCAACCAACTTTTCTGCAATGGCTCAGAAACGGGCTTAGAGATACCTAGTTATCTAACCCCACTTCAATTCAAAGTTTTGCATATATATTCTAATTTAAAATTTTACTACAATGTAAGAACTGGAAAAGTTCGCCAATACATTCCAGAGAAATTAAGCTATTTCATCTTTAGAGACTCCCATGATTTATCCTATATAGGTATTAGAGCCATAC